CAGATGTTTTGTGTAGTCCAGATGTTTTGTGTAGTCCAGATGTTTTGTAACAAATCGCCCCTCGGGATCATAAAGATTCTTGAACTTACAAAGTCACCTCCAGGAACGGAGACGTGGGGGAACAGGCAGGAGGACTAGAGGTCAGAAATTGTATGTAGATAAATGTGAAGTTCCTTCATGCTCAGTAATCTATTACTTACTTTAGTAATAGATTACTGAGCATGCATCAGGATATCTATTACTTTGCTCGGTTCTATTCTTTTTCTTGTTCCTGTTTCTAAGCTCATAAGTACTGGAAAAGGCGACAATAAGGCCTTGATGGGTCTACGTGTTGTGTCCAGGTCTCTTTCAGGGCGGATTGTTGGAGGAGTGTGGTGGTTTTTCACGCTGATAATTATCTCGTCCTACACGGCCAACCTGGCTGCCTTCCTCACCGTAGAAAGAATGGTTTCTCCCATTGAGAGCGCAGAGGACCTGGCTAAACAGACGGAGATAGCCTACGGGACACTGGACTCTGGATCTACCAAAGAGTTCTTTAGGGTGAGGTTGTTTTCCTGCGTGCACGAAATAAAGACAAAGAATTCACATTTATTTCATTTTGTGAGAAACGACGCGTATTTTAATGAGCTCTAAGTATACCAACACATGTACTGATTTGAATCAGTACACTTTTACTAACGTCAATGTTTTCTTGTTTTCAGCGCTCCAAAATTGCCTTGTTTGACAAGATGTGGCAGTACATGAAATCAGCAGAGCCCTCTGTTTTTGTGAAGAAAACCTCAGAGGGCGTGCAGCGTGTCAGGAAGTCCAAAGGGAAGTATGCGTACCTGCTAGAGTCCACCATGAATGAATACATCGAGCAAAGAAAACCCTGTGACACCATGAAGGTCGGAGGAAACCTGGACTCCAAAGGCTATGGGATTGCCACACCCAAAGGATCTCCATTAAGGTGGGTGGATCAGTATAACAATGCTGGCAACCCTGTACTGCCATGTACCATTCACACTGCCAACCTGCTGCCGAGCGTCCTGTCCCCTCCCCACTTACACAGCTTTTTCTTCACATGACAAATTGTGAGGAAAATGTGCAGTGGCTTTGTGTTTCCCTCACTCTGCACACTCAGAAAACATCTGGAGACATTGACTAAGCACCTGGCGCCCTGCTCAGGTGTTCATTAGCCAGTGTGTGAGCTGCTGCTGTGCTCATGTGCAGCAACGCTTTGGAAAATTCAACCATCTCCAGTGGGGAACCCTGACTCCTGTCCCGAGCCTTTGTGCCATGTGCAGATGTGCTGAATGGGGCATGGCAGCTAACTCGTTGTTATAATAATCCACCTACCCTGATGACAGCTTCTCACGGTTTGTATTGTGTCGTGGTGGCCACCTCTGGCCAGAGGCCAGGGGTTGTTGCCGTGATGAACACGTGACCTTTGATTTCTGCACTTGTTCACTGTGACTACACGTCAGGTCTAAACAAGCTTGTCCTGGTATCATGATGTGTTTCGAAAGGATCGGCAACATTCTCTGCGTCTTGCAAAAGTATTCATCCTTTTATCCTGATGCATGCTCAATAATCCAGGTAGAAAAATCCAAGAAAGTTCTATCTGGTCCTCTGGACATTCAAAAAAAACAAAAAACAAAACAAAGCAAAAAAAAAAAATGTAGAAACGTTTCGTCTCTCATCCAAGAGACTTCCTCAGTCTGAGGTGCTGTTTTCAGCTCAGTCTCTTAAATAGCACCTTCTCAGAGTGGATCAACCAGTTTTGCTGCTGACAACCAGAACCAGTTGATCACATGGTCAAGAAGGACCATCAGCCTAACAATGGATCATTAGCACCTGATGGCTGTTTACTGTTCACAGAGGGCTGAGTGATACTAGCAATCACAGCATTGTAAGAGGGGGACAGTTGAACCCGGAGGCTCCACCCCTGTTTAATGATGGACGGTTTCTTTTCACAAAGATGGCCTCCTTTACTCCTCTCTCAAACCATCGTTCCTCTCTATCCAGGATGTGAACATCTTCATCCCTGAAAGAGTGACCTCTGACCTGGAGATGAGTGTAGACCACAGAGTCCTGGCCTGATGATGTTGATCTTCTGTGCTGGGCCATCCTTTTGGCCAGTGGCTGTTTAGTTTCCCCGATGTAAGACTGATCACCCTCCTGACACTGAACAACATACACAACATTACTCTGTTTGTGCCGGGGGACTGGATCTTTGGGATGAACCAGTCTTTAATGTATTTTGGGGTTTAAAAGTCACTGGGACGTTATGTTTAGAAAATAAACGTCTCAGTTTCTCTGATACTCCCTCAACATATGGAATGACCACTGGTCTGGGTCTGGGTTCTTCCTTTTCACCTGTTGGCTGACTGGAGTCCTGTTTGGGTTTCTTCTCTGCTTTTAGGAAGGCCCAGTTAGGATATCCACATTGCTCTAGAGCCTGTCTTGTGTAGGATTTCTCCTTCTGCCTGGCTCCCGAGCTAGTGGGGACGCTGTCTGCTCTGTGATACAGAGTCCTGATGACTCCTAACTTGTGCTCCAAAGGGTGATGGGAGTCAAACTGCAAATACTGGTCTGTGTGGGTGGGTTTGTGGTACACCTCAGTTTGCAAATGTCCTCTATCAGAGACTGAGACCTCACAGTCCAAGAAAGCCAACCTGCCATTTTTTACATCTTCTCGTGTGAACTTGATGTATTTATCCACAGAGTTGATGTGGTCAGTAAAATGTTGGACTTCCTGAGATTTGATTTTAACCCAGGTGTCGTCAACATACCTGAACCAATGACTTGGTGGTGTCCCTGAAAAGGACGTCAAGGCTCTCTTTTCTACCTCCTCCATGTACAGGTTGGCAACAATAGGAGAAACTGGAGACCCCATAGCACACCCATGTTTCTGCCTATAATATTGCTCCCCATATGTGAAGTAGGTTGACTGCAGGCACAGTTTCAAGAGTTGACACAGTTGTTCTGTGGAAAGCGTGGTCCTGCTGATCCACCCTGAGACGGTGCTATTTAAGAGACTGAGCTGAATACAGCTCCTCAGACTGAGGAAGTCTCTCAGATGAGAGACGAAACGTTTCTACATTTTTTTGTTGATTTGCTTTGTTTTTTTTTTTTTTTGAATGTCCAGAGGACCAGATTTAACTTTTTTAGATTTTTCTACCTGGATTATTGAGCATGCATCAGGATATGTAAATAGGAGCTCCGATACACAAGACAGAGAGCAAAAAAGCAGGAGGAGGACAGTAGAGGGAAGAAAACGAGTCCGCCTTGCACAAGAGCGAGTGAGGAAAAGCTGAAATTCAAACAGAAGGGATCCAAGTGGAAGGGAACCTGCAACCATGCCACCACACTTGTGTTCAGCCATCTTTAAACCAAAGCAAACATCAGTTACACTGAGGTCTTGACTTTGACTGGACTTCAGAACTGGCTCTTCCATCAGTGGAGTGTTAAAATGTGTTTAGGGACAGTGTCCTGCTGGAAGATGGACCTCTGTCCCATCTCAAATCTCTGGAAGACTCCAAGTTCCTCTCCAGATGCTGTCTCTGTTTTCCTCCATACATCTTTTCTTTACCTATGACCAAATTCTCAGTCCCTGCTGATAAAAACCAAAACGTCTCTTCTGCCACCTCCATTACTGTGGGAATGGTGCTCTCAACATGATGAGAGCTACTCTCAGAAAAGGTTAAATCAGGTCACCTGGACAGTTTCTTTTAGGGAGAAACGTTTCGTCTTTCATCCGAAACACTTCATGAGTCTGAGGCGTGCCAACCACATCTGTCAGATCAGATGTGAGCCCTCGTTGATGGATTTAACGCCGCTCTCTTTCACATGAAAGACGAAATGTTTCTCCCGTAAAGAATCTGCCCAGATGACGTGATTTAAGCCTTTTTTCTGAACTGTCTACCTGGATGATGGAGCTTTCAAACCTCTTGATGAGAGATGATGAGAGCTAGTTAACGAGAAGTTATCAGAGCTAAACCGAATCTTCAGAGCTCGTGCTTCTACAGGTTGGAGAAGGAAATTATGAACAGGACAAGTTCATTTCGTGTGAACAGAGGAAATGTATTTATACAAGAAAGTACAGAAAAAGTGTTGACCTTTAATTAGGTTTTTAGTGTGTGTGTAAAGAAGAGTTTGAGCCGTGTGCAGTAGAAGGTCACACAGCTCGACTAAGAACAAAGACGGCTGATGCTCCATCAGATGTCAGTCAGCTCAGTTTGAGGCAGAAACTCTTCAAACATTATTCAAATCTTTTCTGCTCTTGTTCTGTGAACCCCGATCATCTTTACTCCTCTGACTGTTCTCTTATCGTTTGTGTTCAGTTACTTTGAATCAAAATCTAATCTGCATGAATTCAAAGCTGAAAGGAAGGGTTAACAACAGGGATGAATACTGTTGCAACCTGTGCAGGTGAAACATCTGTGCAGAAGTCTTAGTGCATCGTTCACATCTGATGCATGCAGAAAGATTAACTGGAGTTTATTTAGCAGCACATATGTACAAATTCTTATTTAGGTGAAATAAGTTTATGCAGTTTATTTTAAAATCATGATATGCAGGCTTATTAAGACCTGGCTTAAAGTATTGTTGTAGTCTGTGAATGTGTCTCTTTATGTTTGTATTATTCTAATGAAATTTATTCAACTTAGTACAAAAGATCTCTTTAGACATATTTAGCTGCCATGTTCATATTCTTTAACAAGAATCCCTTGTTGTTTATTCTAATCCCTATTTTAATCCTCATGGCTTTAAAGCGTGTCATCGTTCAGAGTAGGGTGTGTCTAAACTGAAGGAAAACTCAGGTTTGTGTCAAGTTTTGTGATGTTTTGAGTCTGTGCAGTAAAATGATCTGCAACACATTCTTCATATTCTAATCATTCATTCATTCATATTGTAATCATATTTATGAATCACTCAGGTAAAATAAGAGAATTGTTGGGAGGACACTCAAATATAATATTAGTTCAAGATCTTTAGACTACATTTCATTTCTTTATATTTTGTTGCAGAATATAAATGTTGAAAATTGAATTGAAAGAACAATAGGGGAAACTAGTTTTGAAACATTCAAACCTTCATGAAAAACCTGCAGAGCAAATTTCTAAGATTTTTACCAAACCTAAAAAATCATTATTTGGTGTGACCAGTTTCCACAGCAACACAACTTAAACCTTCAGACAGAAGCCATCTTAGAAATCCTTTAAGTCTTCAAGAGTAGTTTTCTTGATTCCTTGAGGAGCATTTAAAACATGTATATATGTATATATATATGTATATATATATGTATGTATATATATATATATATATATATATATATA